AGCCATCGCGGGGGCGAGGGGGCGTTAATCCCGTGTCGGACAGAGATTCCTGGGAGAAGGGCTTCGATCGGCGTGAATTTCACCTCAACTAACGGGAAGGATCCCGATCCCCTAGGTGCCAAGAAGTGGCTGGAATGGAGGAAAGAGATGGAACTGCTTTCTGATGTAGCCTACTTCGTCCTTACCACTTTGTCAGGTATCCGTATTTAGTATTTCTCCTAACGGTGTGAAAACCGAGCTGTCTGTCCTGGGCGGCTGCTGTTTGTTGGTGACCACCTACTGGAACGAGACCGCTTGACAGTGGTTTTCTATAATGGGGGGGGGGGGGTGTTTGGTTGGCTTGTTTTTCTATAAATGCCTTCTATTAAATATGAAACCACTAAGTTGTCAGAAGTTTGAGTTCAAATGCAGCAGTTTATCAACCCAGGTATGTTCTTCTAAAAGCAAAATTTCTTTTTTAAAAAGGGATGCATGATACCGTGAAAAAGTATCCCTGCTTTAAGCCTAAAACACTTGCAGGTACTGACGCGGCAGATGCTGATGTAAGCATAGCGCTCACCTCATTCAACACAAAAAAATGCCACTATTTCTGAAACCTGACGTGCTCTGACCTGAGCAGCCTGTCACCACTGCTCAGCTGTACAGAGAATGACATTGCAATTGCCATCTGACCCTGCCTGTTTTCTGTTACACGCATTATTTAGGTTATCAGACTCTGGGTGAAGAGTATGTTAACATTGTTCAAGTTGACTCAACCAAGAAGAGGGTACCTTCTTTTCTTCGACGGGCCATCTTCGTTTCTCTTCATACTGTACTACCCTATTGCTTAGAAAAGGGATTGCTGCATCTGGAACGTGAGTTGCAGATAGAAGCTGATGAGTCCAGAACCTCGCAGAGCAGCCCAGCACTTGGCTTATCCAGTAGGACCTTAATACGAAACTGGATACAGAAACAAGTTGGGGAGCTTACAGAACAGCAGAAGAAAACAGTCTTACAAATTGTGTATGTTCTTAAACAATGCATACCTGTGCTTCATCGACTACATCTGGCAGTATTCTACATAAGTGGCGCTTTTTATCACCTGTCTAAAAGAATCACAGGAATCACGTATGTAAGTGGATGTATTTCTTGTTTGAAGATGGTGTCCACTGCAATATTTTGGCCTCTTTTGGGATGCCATGTAAAAGGGATATAGAATTTGGCTGTAGCTGATTATAACATGGGCAGAGCAGACTGGGTGAGAGGGACATTTTTAATACTATGTAGCGGGGTTGTGAGTCCCTGCAGTTGAAAGGTTATGGCTAATAAATGTGAATGCACTGTCAGAAGTTAATACCCTATGTAACTTCATGACACTATCTAGTCTGGTCTGTCTTCTACAAATACACAAAAAGTCAGAAGTGGCTTAATAAATCCATGGGAGGTACTTAAGTATAGTTTTGAACAAAAATCAGTACACGTTTAGATAGCATTTTTCTATGTGAAGAGCTTAATTTCACATGGTCTTTTCAGTATCTTTCCAAAAAACACCAGCCATTGGCCCAGAAGTGTGTGTAGACAGATGACTCCTCAACAATTCCCAATGTCAATGTGGAAAAGAGGTTTTGACTATTTGCTCAGAGCTACATAACAAAACCAAACCGATTAAAGCAGCAGTTCTGATGGACAGACAGACAACTCAAGACAACCGATCCTGGCACAAATGGCAGTTAAGTGTAGCCTGACTGAATGAGATGCATCCAGGACATGAGACCTCCTGAGAGACAGCAGGTTGATAAGTCCTAGAAACGTGTCAATTTTGACAGAAATGAGAATCCCAAATCAAGAGTTTATTGATGGGGGGGGGGGGGGTATCGACATAAAAAATCATGTTAAAAAAAAATTTTCAAACCCAAAATAAAGGTTTTTTTGGGGGGGGGGGGGGGGCATAGTATCATAAAACTGCATTAACAAAACATTTCTATTTCTGTGGACTATGTAGCTGCATTTTGGAGGACTGCAAGGAGAAGATCAGAGTATTCGATCAAGTTACAAGTTTCTTGGAATAATTTCACTCTTCCATCTTCTTCTAACAATTGGTGTTCAGATGTACAGCTTCAAACAGAAGCAGAGAGCAAGGCAGGAATGGAAGCTACACCGCAACCTAGCTCATCAGAAGTATGATGGTTTTTACTTACTAAGAAAGAGGTAGAAGCAATGGTGGGAAATGTAATAGCTTTCATGAACAGGGAGAACGCTGGCGTGACACTTTAAGTTAGAACCTGATGTGATGTAATGTAACGTTTGCTGCATTCCTCACTGTTTTAAGCATCTCTTAGATTTCATGCTTTGCTTTCACATTTTTGAGAACTCACAAAAAAGGGCTAATACTTGAAGATGGGGTTTACTTTAGGACTGTGTTATCACATATTTCTTACAAGCAGGCTAAATAAAATTAATATATAACTATGTTAACTAGAAGTATGACCAAGGAAAAAACTACTGGGCGCCACTCCCGCTGCACTTTGTGTCTAGAAGAACGGAGACATACAACAGCCACACCTTGCGGCCACCTGTTCTGCTGGGAATGCATCACGGAGTGGTGTAACACCAGAGTAAGTACGGAAGGATAGAGAGGCTGGAAGGTGTAAACGTGATGAAATTTCTACTTGAAAATACCTGTCAGCCTGGGTGTTGAAATAATACCCTCTCTCTCACTCAGGCACCCAGAATCCCCACACGAGAGTTTACCAGGACCTATATATATATATATTTATATATGTTATTAGAATAGAATGACTATACATTACATAGATGAGGTAAACAAGGTGAGCAGTTTTCTGTTGCAACCATTGAAATGCAATCGGACTACCGTGGAAGTCAGACACAAAGATAATTCCTTTATCTACAGACCTAGGCTGTAATTCTGACTGCAAAGAAACAACAAAAGTGATAATGTTCTGAAGCCTTCTTCACCTGATTTCCAGTAAAAAGGAATAAATAAGTTGCAACCGAACTGAACTAGCTCTTATGCATGTTATTTTAAACTTGGATTTTGCTCTGGATTAATGAAATACAACAGAATTTTCATCCATTAAGGATTTTATAGACATCGTGGCATAAGACGTTGTCCATTTATTTTCTCTGAAGAGTGAAAACTGCTTGCCAGAAAAAAGGCATCAAGTGTTACTTACAAATAAAATGTTTGCCACAGAGGCTATGTCTGTGCTATAACTCAGACATATTACTGCAAGCTGGGTAAGCTTGCATCACAAACTGGACTGAAAAAAATGTTTAATTATGGATACTGATTATTTTCTAGAAGTAACTAACAGTTATATTTGGAGTTTTTTAACTTTTAAATGCAGCAATTCAGTACGTCTATCTAATTTGTTTTCTTTTTGTAGACAGAATGTCCACTGTGCAGAGAGAAGTTTCATCCTCAGAAACTGATCTACCTACGTCACTATCAACTGTAAAGGAAAAAAATCTATTCTGTTTCACGACAAGGGCCTCAGCTCATACACGCTTTATAAAGTTGTCATACAGCTTCAGTTAGTCCAAGAAAAAGACTCAATTATAAAACTGGTAACTGCCTGTGCAAGGTGGCACTTCATTCCTGTTTTACAGAATAAATCTACTTCAGCCTCTACCCTTCTGTTTTCTTCTAACATGGTTCTTGACCATATTAAAAATACATCTTTCTAAAAAGTGCTTAACACAACTGTAAGTTTTCTTCACATTGGACAATGAAAAATTTAAATGAGATTCTCATTCTCTAAATGTAAGTGTGGATAACGGGTCTTCCAACCTTTCATAGCATGCTTAAGGTGTTAGTAAAATTCTATGATTTGCAAGACTCCCTTTCTCCTGGAACATAATAATGAGTCCATACGCTAGACTTCGGGGGAAAAGGACAAAAGCTGTACAGAAATCCTTGGTTTAACTGCAGTTCAAGTTCTGATAATAAATGCATGTCATGTACCACTCTTTTCATACCAAGGTTAACAATAAAGCAGGTTTCCTTCATTTGACAAACTGTGAATTTCCCTTAGATCAACAGAAGCAACAAGTGCAAACCCCCAGTAACGCAGACTACTCTGCACACTGATCGATTAACGTTCAGCTTCCAAACTCAAAGCTTTTCTCTCGCTATTACATACCAAGACTTTTTCCTTGATGACAAGCATTGATACCAAGTATTCTAGACGTTTAGGCAACGTAACAAGCGGTGTTTCAAAAAAGCCCTAGTACGTATACTCATAGAAACTAAGCTCAACTATAAAATGTTAGGTTTATAACACAGTTTAAGTTTTGGCTGCGTGGTGTTTTCTACAGTCTAACACAGCTGGGGAAGACGCTGACCAGCCACAAGACCCTCTCCCCTCTTTATGGCAATAGGGGCTATTTCAGCCAAGCCAATATTTTAGAGTATAAAGGATGGGATTCAGCACCATCACCTCGTCAAGGTTCATTCCCTTAAGTTATTATTAGTTCAGTTATACAAGTATTTGGAGCAGCAGGGAAAAAGAAAATGATTGTTACTTGTTAACATATCTTGTCATTCTTGCATGATAGAAAATGTACAAGGTGAATTTATTTGTATTGTTGAAATACAGATGGGGAGAAAAAGCCAGATGGTCCACTCTGTGGATCATGAGGTACAGTTTCAATCCATCTTTCACAAATGACACTGAACATGGACTTGGGGTGGCAGGGGGAGGCGTGCTACAGTAAGAGCACTTCTTTTAAGACGGTTATTTGTACTGCAGAGATCCTGGTTAGCTAGTTAACAATTAAATCTCCAAGTGTTATCATAAAAACTCCAATAAAATTAGTTTTAACTTTTCATCATACCAATAAATGGAAGAAAAAATAGTTGCTGGCAACTATGCAAACACTTTGTCATTACTGTACAAAAGTGATTTTCAGAGCTGCAATACCATCCCTTTCTTACACCAGAAACTTTCAGGCATCCCTCACCTATTTAAAACCGCCAGTGGAAGAAAAATGGTCCGTATCACGAATCAAAACATCCATATCAAACAATCCATATCAAACAATCAAAACTACCTCAGGAAATCACTGCCTGGTCTCCTTACTAAGAAAATAGTAAGGAAAAACACTTAGCTGCACATAAAAAGAAACAGGAACCAGTCGATGACTGGGAATTATCTGTGAAATTGTCAAGCCCAGTTTTTCATGCACTCTGTATGGGTAATTTATTTTTAGCACTTGTAAGTGATAAAAAAGAGCAAAGTTGAACAAAATGCCATCAAACTTGTCTGGCCGTTGCATGCCGAGAGTCAGCCAGGAACTATACCGTTGTCCCAACATCATCTACAACCCATATCTGAAAACTGTTAATTCCACTGAATGCAGAGCATCTACGCCTGGCTAAGAATGAGAAGGCATTCATCTCAAACTGCCACCAAAGCTCGAAATTAGGCAGAGGTAAAAATACCTGATTTGCAATGGATGCTGTTAACACTCTGTTGTTTAGTAGGAGTCATCCCAGTTGCTCATTTTAACATTCATAAACATAATAAACATTGTATTTCCTCCCCGATTTGCCCATATTATTCAGAAACTCCAGCAAACCTGAAGACAGCTCCTCCAAGTCAGGACTTTCAGATTTTTAGGCAATGAACTGCAAGCATCCATGACTGGTACTTTTATAAGGCCCCTTCTGCACGCTGTGTTGCCATTAATTTTAAATTTTGACATAACTAGTTTCCACACTGCTAATAAAACAAACACACGCAAACAAACAAAAAACAACGGGTCAATGTGAACTAAAACTACCTGTCATTTTCCCAGGATTACTGAAGGCTGAATTCCAGGGCTCCGTAATGACTTCATTTGACAAAATCAGATGAAAAGGTTCCTACATACATTTTCCAGTGAGGTGTCTGTTGAAGTTGCCACTATTCTCCATTCAGAATCGTCACAGAGCTAATCTTTTCCTACTTTCTGCAAGTGAATGCTCCCTGAAGAGTTGAAAAAGGCATTGCATGAAGATAAACTGAGGACAACCATTATTGAAAAGGAGTCATAAACACTGTTAGATCAATATATGTATATAAAGATAGAGAACAAGTAAAGGGGGACACTGTCTTTTAATAAATTTTGGAATTAAAAAGTCACTTAATAAAACTGCAGTTGTATCACATGAAAAAATTTACATGCAGGTCATTTATCTCTTTTTTTTTCCCCATAGAAAATGAAAAGCTGTGTTAAAACCCACACCGTTCGTCTGCTATGGCCAGTTGGGGTATGTTCTGAAGGGGCTGCATGAAGTCAGCTTAAATTAATCAAGAAACCCTTAAGTATGAAAGAAACTCCAACTAATAACAATTAAAATATATATATATATTTATAATTCCAGGTCCTCAAAGGAAATTGTGATAGAGTTTGAACAAAGTTTTGAGTCATTACGAAAGAGCCCAATTTTAGCATCTGCTAGGAGATGTAATGGTGAAACTGGCATTGAAACCCAACACAAATGAGTTACTTTAGAAGCTGTACGAGTATTTTTTGCCTACTGCAAAACCCATAATTTAGGAGATTTCTTATTCCTACCTATATCTGTTTGGTTATAACTCAGTAATACCATGCATTTAGGAAACTGGCTTAAGTTCTGCATCTATTTAGGTCTACTGTATTTTTCCATGAAAATAGCACACGGCCATGAAGCAGAAAACAGCATCATGTGTGCCATCTTACATTTTTCCTCCACATACGTGCACAGCACTTCAGGGTGATATTGAGCAAGAGAACTATGTAAAAATATCCAACTCTAAGCCATTAATCTCTCCAGGGCAATGGATCTTGAAAGAAATGCATTATCCCAAATCCATGGGATTATCCACAGTTTCTCCAACTTCTTACAAAAGATAATAAACTCAATGCAATCCGGTTAGAATGCCAGTTTCTTCAAGAAACTGATATTTCAGATAAAAATAGCAAGATCCTCTTAAAATGAAAATTCAACCGCTTTGTCACCACTGTGTTAATCATTTTTTATGAAGAAAAAAGGCATTGTTACAATGGCTCAAAATCGTTCCTTTAGTTAGAAGCAGAATTGGTCAACAGGTTGATTGGATCTTCTAGCTAGCAAAGGTCTTTCCCACATCTTCTTTCCCTTTGTATTTCCTCTTGCCATGTGTGAAGGGTATATATCTGTACTTTATCATGTGCTGTAAAGAGAAAAGATCAATTTTTGAGGCAAGAAACTTACCTAGTATTTACAAAAATGTTTCATAATACACATTGTAAATTAAAAAGTCCTCTAGAAAGACAGTTCTTCAGTATTGTAAAGGTAATGAAATAGCTAATCATACACCAGTTTACATCGAAATAGGGGTATGAGCCCAACCTTGTAAGTCTCAAATTTGGGTATACCCAACAACTTACACAGTACAGTGAAGATTACTGATTGGGCGAATCACAGGAAACTGGAGAGAGCATACAGGTATTAATTCTCTACTACCCTTTAATCTTTAATTCACAACTTTGCATAACAGTACCTATCCAAAATTCTGAATGTCTGGGAAAAAAATATTGGTTCTCTTTTTAAAATGCCAACAAACCATAAGTAATTTGTTAAAAAAGGTCTCAATGACTTGCCTATGTTCTTCTTCCCTTTCTCTCCATCTACTTTCTCGCATCAACTTGTCAGAACTTGCCTTTTCACCCATCAGAGATCCTACAAGACCTCCTCATTAAAGATAGCCTTAGTTAAATGAAGAAAGGAAGTGGATGAGAAGTTATAAACTCATCCTGTATAAAAAAAGATACTGAATTCTAAGATTGAAACCTTTTGAAAGCAAGCACAAAATTCTTTAATGCAGTGTACGAAGACTTCTTTTACCAAGTATTTTTGTTTCCCATTGTCAACACTTGCTCAAAGTTGCAAATATGCAACTAGTGTTCGAGTGTTAAGTTGTTCAAGTTCCTCTAGTAAAGAAGTGTGTGCAATACATTTAATACCTCTGAGGTGCTCAACTGGATGGACGGTTTAGATCAATACTGTAAATTCTGTCATCACAAATGCTACTATCTATTCTTGGCAAGTTACCTTGATTTGCCTCTTCATAGTGATACAAAATAGCATAATGAAGTACATCACAAGGATTGGCCAAAAAACAGGAACGTTGAAAGCCTCGAAGAATGTACATGCCATAGCAACCAGGATTCCTTTAGTGGCAGAGTGCCTTAAAAATAATATTAACAATTAATCCTTCAACCCCAGCTACCACTAATTTGATGCAGATATTTGTATTTTTCAAAAACAGAGTGTGGGCAGGCAGATCCACTCACCAGAATTTAAACTCTGGGAGCCTTCTAATGAAAGGCCGAAATTCTTCATTTTGCCTTGTAGGTAAGGAAGGACCATCATCTGAAAAAAACAGAAAAAAAACCCAAAACACACAAACCCCCTCACACTAATTTTCCACACTATTCGGATTCCAAATTTTTTTTATTAAAAAAAAGCAAAAAAGAACTTTCACTGTTACACATACATTCCAGTCACAGTGACTGTTTTAATGTAACTTAACAGTGATTTCCCGAAAGAAAATAGATAACAGAAATGAATGCCAGGTCACTTGAGTCATTTTGGGAAGAACTTAAGTCACATAAACCTTCCTTCAAAACACAGAAAACTAATACAATATGGAATATGTTCAAGTCTTGAAAAAAAGAGAGAGAAATTTTATATTAACTCCTGATGTCAAGTCGTATAGATTTTTTGCAAGTCTAAAAATACAATGTCATGCTAAAATTGCACATCTTTACACTACTATATCAGACAAGAAGAGCTGAAAGTTTGACTAAGTTCAAAATTATCACAAAATGAACTATTCATCATACCTGAATCTTCCATTAAAGAAGGGTCTACCTTTGGCGACAAGAAAGCTATGAAGAGATTTAGATGGTAGATTCCCAAGGCATATGTCACAATGTACCAACCCTGAAGCGGGGAGGAAAAAAGCGCCAAGATTAAGGTCTTCCTGAAAACCATTTTCAGACACTGTTTTTTAACAAGATCAAACAACCTGGTTTTTTGCTTCCTTGAGAAGTACTTTCCTACATCCTCACATTAACATGAAAAGTTTTCTGGACTTGTTAAAAAAAATATTAAAAATTCTCACTGGATAAAATAAGCATTCTGAACCTATGACAAGGTGAAATCACCTTTATGAATCTATTTCTTTGATTTGTGTACTGACAGGTAACATATTTAACATTTTTCATTTAAAGCTACCTAAATACCGACCAAACTTACCGCAATACAAATAAGCAAGATGAAAAAATAAAATCTTTCAGCCTTTTTAAGCTAGATGTTTTCTAAGGTATACTACTGTAAACCTAATATATTAATCAAAACAAGCCTTAAAACATGAGAGTAGTACAAATGCCTCATGTATTGACAGATTTATCAGGAAAGGCTTTCTCAGGCATCTGGTCTCTATGTTCAAGATGTAGACATCATAAAAGCAGCATAAAAAAAGTAAACAGCATAAAACCATCACTTTTTTAATCATCTTTGCAGGCCGCAGTCTCTTAAATCTTCCTATTACTACCATTATTATTATATTATTATTTTGGGAATAATAATTCTCAACTTCTTAACTGAACTGCAGATTGGCATGAAATAGAGGCATCTGATTAGTGGAGAAACGGTCTGCTGCTGGCCTGCAGTGATAAAACCGCTGAAAAAAGTAATTCTTTATGGTTTGCATGACAGAAGGTAACCACTGGCCCCTGAACATGTTGTTACACAGCTTTATAAATAAAAGTAAGTACTTAATTGCAATAGAGTTTTCAGAGGTTTATTATGTAATTTCATCAGAACTAATGGAGCTTTTCCACTTTCTGTTGCCATCAGATGAATAGCCGCAAGCATTCACACATTCTCCATTCTGAAGCAGTATGTTTAACACCAACAAGACGTGTTCTTTCTTCAGACTAATTTACCTTCTACTGTGTGCTAAATGATACCATATGTAATTCCAAAGTAATACCATACTTCAAAAACTCAACACAAAAAACGGAACAGCAATGATATCTAAAACTAGTTTAGCAGTAAATCCTGTTTTCTTACCTGCAGTAAATAAACTCTAATCATGTAGATAAAACTCAGACCCAAAGTTACAATCCATCGCACTGCAGTATATGGAGTAGATTTGTCTAACCAGGACTGGTAGATCTAGGAAGAAATATAAAGTGTACATCTGTAAAATACATGATGCACAATGAATAATGTTTATTACAGGGTAGCATTAGAAATAGTAAGTATTTGTGAAGAGTATTTTGGAAAGGAGAGTCATGTGAAACATCTGTATTCTTTATTACAAAGAAACTTAATTAAGCATAAACATACTTACAAACATTTGAAAAGTTCTGTATTTTTATAAAGGCAAAAAAAAAAATTCCTCATGATTGGGGCACCACAAAACAATTTAAATTTTCAATATTTTATGCAAGTTTATTTCCCGTAAGATGAACCTGACATGAAATCTGAAGTCACTCATTTGTGACAATGAAAACATATATTTTCACTGTGCAGTGTCACATATACACACATTATATATTCCATTAAGCTATGCATTATAACATTTGTTATCTATTTTTAAAAGGCTTCAAAAGAAACCTTTTGTATGGATTTTAGTATTTCAACAACTCATCCAAAAAGTAATGAGTTTAAGAAGCTGCATTGAGACCTGCTTCGAATGGAGTCGGAAAAACCCTACAGAAAACCAACCTGTCCAAGTCTTGAGAAAAATCTATAGACCACGGAAGGCTTTCCATGAACAGACTCGCCAATACTGTCCCCTTCTGACATGGTTGCTGTGGAAACAAAACATGATACACAGGTAACATTTAAAACAAAAATCTAAGGTCAGCGAAGCTTTACAGTACATTATCTGAACCAGCATTTACACATGATACTCTTTTGGATTGCCCTCTTTGAAACAAATTATTTTTAATGAAGTGTTCTTAAAGAGAGGACATTTATTCCAAAAGAAATTAATTTCCAAAATAAGTTGTCAAGAAAGCAAAGAACAGGGTATTTTACAAAGGCAAGACAAGATCCAATCCATTTTGGGGAGGGGAAAAAACAAGTCTATACAGAAATGCAGGAACGAGCCTCGTTAGACATCTTCACCTTGAGAAGGCGGGAGCTGAGTTATAACATCTAAGCATTGAGATATGAACTGCAGCACCACCCTCCTGTCACCTCAGTTTCTAAAGGCAAAGAACAAAACCAAAATAAGTATTTTTTTTTTCAAAGCTGCTTAGGATTTTTAAATACTGAGTAACTAGATAGTGAAGAAGTTTAAGTTCAGGACTCTGTACGCGAGCGGTTACAGCCAAAAAGCTCCACCATAAGCACCTAACCCAAAACACTGCCCACTACTAGAATTATTCAATGACTTTATCTGTCTCTTGAACAGGAAGAGCTTAGCAGTCACAGAAAAGTTTTATGCATGAGCAAAATTGTGTAGTAAAGGGGCCAGGATACTGAACCCAGGTAAAAAATTAACCAAGGGAATTATTTCTTAGTACATGCTTCTGCTACTAATTCAAGATCTTTATTTTTCTTTTCAGTTAAGCTCAACTAAGTTTCACAGTTCACTTCAAGATATAAACCAAACAAAATAAACTGGATTCTAAACAGAAACATTTTTGCCACATCACCAAAAGCAACCCCTGACATTACTTCCTGGAGTCCTCATCTGTGGGTGGGACTACATAACTCTGGGATAATGGGAGTACTTTCAGCCCTATGTTAATATCTCAAGATAAAAGACATGTGAAACATTACTAAATCAGAAAAATGTAAATTATCTTAGATGCTGCAATACAGTGACTGCTGCAAAAAATAATTTGAGACCAAAGACAATCTGGGGAGGCACAGAACCTTAAAGCTATATATTTTTCCTGTAAACATCTGAAAACTACATCCTATGGAATAATTGGTAAGTACAAAAAAAGGAGTCCTGTTACACTTCAAAAGATAAGGGGATTCATTATGAGGCTTCAGGAGCTGCAGTCCACTTTAACTGAAGCTATAGATAAAAAGAAAAAAAAATCAAATAGAAACTCAAACAATATAGATACAGACTTTTTCATTATAGGCAAAAGGAAGTAATTATTATTTTCCCCATTCACTGCACTGCAGAAGAAAAGTTACTCAGCATTATTAGCTGAGCATAATTTTGTGCTTTATTTTGGGGGTTTTTTGAAATGTCCTTAAGCATAAAGCTGTAACAAAAAGATATTCAATGTATTGATCAGACAGCAATTCTCTAAAGATCATGAACATAAAAACTCCCATATTCTCAAAATTAATTTTACAGATACATCTACAGCAAATATAGGCTATAAGTAGGCCTAACATTACAATCTTGTAAATATTAACCTACGCAGATCAAGTGAAGAATGACATACGTAAGGCGACTGATGGCTTTATAATGGAGTAGGCATTTTCCTTGGCATAAAAAAATTACATTATATGTGATTATGTATGATCGTTTATCATACATACAGTCCTTCCATAGCAGACCAAGAAATACAACTGCTAACACTGCCTGTTTTACTGAAACCTCTCATTGGCTCAGTTTAAGTAGCACAGATTGAGGCACATCACATGACAGTTTAGAATTTTTCTTACCACTTTAAAACATTTACTTAAAGAACATATGCAATTAGACTATTATCAAGAAAAGCAGTCTTTGGCATTACTTTGAAGGTAGCTTACAGTTAGAACGCAAGTCAGATCTCATTGGTTTAAGGGAATAATTAAATCTAAACAGTAGCAATCCCTCTTTCACAATGTAACATAAGACTTTACTGTTCCACATAATGAGTTATGATCACCCTTCAGCCATTTCAGCAAAGCCAATAAATCAGAAAAATATACAAAGATTAACGTATTGAATAGTTTGCTACTAGCAGAATACAGACTGCTACTAAAACTAAACCACATTAAAACGTTTTTTTCTGCTGAAAAATACCAGGCAGGTGAATGCACGGCCTTCAACAATTATGCTTTTTACCACAATTGTTATGGTAATATCATTACAAATACCACTGCGTTGCTGAGTTCTTAAAAGGGACAGGACCTGAGGCAGTAAAGACGTGTAACTTATGCCTCGCATCACATACAGAGAGGTAAAGAATTTTCAGACAACTCTCTGATCATAATACAGATTTTTCTTAAATTTAAAACACACCTGAAGCACATAACGAGCAAAAACATTACTGCTCATACAAGCTTCCTTATCCCGTAGAGGAAACGTTTTTGAAGAGCAACACGCTAAAGTGATTTATTAACAACAGGGTGAATAGACAACCAACAGGAAAATAACCCCTTGGTTGTGCAAACTGATCCTAAAAAGGCACTGTTTAGTTTTATCCACGACAACAGCAGCCCGGTCCGCCTGCCAGGCGCCCGCTGCTGCCTCAGGAGCAGGGGCTGCGCGGCACCTGCGCTCCTTGCGCTCACCCCCAAACGCGGGCTTCGCCCCCCCGAGCTGCCCCACGGCTGCGGGACACGGGCGGTACAAGACACCTCGGGAAGAAATCAAAGCGCACGAAGGCCGGCACTGTTCTGGCACAGAGACCAGAACGAGAGGCCCCGGGGGCCGGAGCGGGGCCCGCTGAGGTGAGGAGGGCCCGGGAGCAGCACTGGGACAGGCAGC